TCAGCAGTGTATTCTGGAAATGTAGTTAGGCCAAAGAGAGCCAATAATGAAAATGTGATCATGAAGCAGGCAAAATATAAGTCCCATGCAGCACCAGAGCAATCAAGAAGTAATAGAGCAGGAGTATCAATCTGGTTTGACCCCCCAAGCTGGATCTGGACCCTGGGGCTCCTAACAGGTCAGATTCAGACACCTCAAGTAGCAGGGCCTGGGGCTTAACATAGCCATCACTCACCCCACACCACCAACACATGCCCCAATGGGCCTCTGCCCCTGAATTCCCAACCCCTCCAGGAGCCCTGTGGGCCAATGACACGGCTCCATGGGTTGGATCTGGTCACAGACCATTTTTTGACACCCCTGATATACAGTAATGTTGAACTGACCCAAAATGAAATATTTTAATTCAATCTGACCACATTAAATGTTTGAATTTGTGAAATACCTGCCTGAAGTGTTTTATTTGGATTTCCTCCCAAACATTTCGTCTTTGTGGAAAACACAATTTCCAAAGGAATAAAAAAGAACATTGTGATAGAAATGTCCTGACCAGCTCTAGTTAAAAGCTTTTTGAAGTTAACAGAGATCCTCCTTTACATTGATAGGACGAAGATGGCTTAGAGTTACATAAAGGGAATCATCTCCTAGTAACCCCATCCCCTTGCAATCTCACCTACATATTCTCCTGAAGTGATGTGGGGAAAAGAAAGGGGCACAGAGCCTGCTGCTTGTACTGCTGTAGAGGGGGATGCAAGCAGCTACATGGAAAAATAACAGGGGAATGGGGGCACAAAGTCCACTGTTTGGGAAGTCCGAGAAATTAGCACCCACAGAAAGACCCAAGGCAGAGCAACATCCTCATACACAATGCTTGAGGGAGCCCTCTCATCATTCCTACAGACCCTACTGATCTTGTAGGGGACATTCCCCATGGGACCTTTTGTGTGCGTACAAGCTGCCACCTACTGAGATGACTGGGTTGCCCCCAGTGGAGCCCTCTGCTCAGAGGTTGGGAGCACCCTTCAGAAAGGACACTCTCCTGGTTGGGGTAGGTGATAACATGAAAATCACTATAGAGAACGCTTTCTTTAGGGATTTTCAGAAGGTAAAAAAGTGTCAGACATCTTTGCTTAGACACAGGATAGGTTAGGAAGGATTCCCAGGCCCTGTGTTTGGGTGGCTAGGATCTCACACAGACCCCTGTTTGAGTAGCTGTGAGTCCAAATGAACAGTCTGGAGCCAACTCTTTCAGGCAAGGTGCCTGTCTCAGTGGAGATGAGGGATTGGAGATTTTTCTCCCCTGTGCTTACTGTCAAGATCTGAGCTGCTATGGCTCTTTTATGCTGAATACCCTAGCTAAATGGTTGGGCCTTACTGAGTGCTTTTCCTGCTTTCTCTCTTTGGCTCAATGAAAATGTATTTATTACATGCAAAGTAGAAGAGCTTCAACATGAAGAAATGAATGTACCCGAGCCTAGAATAGCCTACAATATGGTGGCTAGGGCATGCTCCCTGGAGGTGAGAGAGATAGATTTAAGGCAGGCAAAAGGAAGGATTTGAACTAAAGTATGCCACATCCCTGGGTGAGCAAGGAGCTATTGGGCAGTATCACCTTGTTAGAAAGTGCTGCCTTAGGCCTTGGAAAGATAATCATCATTATACTGGTGAAAAAATATAACAAATAGATAACTCAACCCCTAAACTCAAGTAAAGTTGCCTAATTGAGTGGAGAACTATCCCAAAAAGAATCAGGGGTAAAACTACTGATTTGGGTTTCATCTGTCTGAATCCATCTCCGAGTAGCCATTTCCTAAAGGGTACTATTCTGGGATAACTGCATTTCTGTTCAATACTAATCTGATGCAGTTTGTTTCAGCATATTAAACCAATGTAAATTACTCCAGGGCAAGTCTTGTCTGTCCGTGGCCTCTATTTCAGGAAGGTAGTTCAGAGCCGCAGATCTCCAGTGGAGAGATTCTTACAGGAAAGACACAGATACTTCCCTCAGGAGGTCAGAAGGAATGGATTCGGATTGAATCATCTCTGAGATTTGAAGTTGAGTTTCTTCTCTACTTTCTTTATCAAGGGGCCATCATTTTAATTTTATTTATTGAAGTGAACTATCTCATCTGTGAGAGAGTGGAAGAAAATCTCCTTCCCAAATCAAACAGTAAATTTCGGTTTGGTTGTAATTGGAAGCCTAGTGCTAGTTACATTACTCATTTTAAGAACCTGGCTCTCCAGGACACCTGAGATTTTTATAATTGCTTCTAGGATAAATTAATTCTTTTGGGGAAAAATGAGTGCTCAGCATAATCAACTCTAAGAGGAAGTAATAGGAAATGTACTTGTTAAGTAGCAAGAAATTAACACAAGAAGGAACATGTGCCACCCTGCAGGAATAATCTTATAATCCCTTTGAAATGCTTAGATACCTGAGATACCAAGGGACATTTCATAGAGGCATTTCAGGCCCTGATCCTGTGAGATACCCTAGGTAGACAGACCTCCTACAAGGCCTCATTTATGTCTACCTGACTCAATACAGACATAAGGATCTAATTCTATGGAGCAACTCGAAAGATCAGGGGCTTTGTTTTGGAACTTGATGATAAAAGAGTGAGTCCAAGAATATCCATTTCACACAGTTGTAATGTGACATATTAGAAAACTCTAGAACATTTAGGTAGAGCTTTCTTCCTAACACAGAAGTTACTACTGTGAAACCAGTTAATTAATAACTAGGAATGTTATTCCTATAGGCAAATCAAAATAGAATAAAGTTCATAATTGTCTCCAAGACACAGGAATCTTCCTATCTTTAAAAATAAATTCCAGTCGTCATAAAGCTCCTACTAAGCAAAAAGCCACATTTCTCATCTAAGTCTGATCTCTAGAAAAACAAATGTGGCTTCCTGTTGTGTTCAAATGCTGGTTCCTATTTTGAAATATTCTTTGATATCAATCTCTCCCCTAAGACATCTTCTTTTAATACACCACACTTGCAGAAATCTCTAATTAAGCATTAAATGATGCCCATGGTAACTTGCTACTAGGTAGCTTATGATAATTCTGTTCAAGTGGAGCAAGCTAAGAAGGGGGAACTGTTATGAACAGAAGCAAAAGTGGGATTAGAAATTCCTTGTGGAAGCTAAGACCTGGAACTTGGTCTTTGAACTGATTCTGTCTGAGGCACTTTACTTTAGCTTACTGTGACTGGCTGGGCTGTTCTTATTGATGGAAATCCTTCCTATACAAGGAACGATCATTTAAAAAGTAATGAAATTGTCTTTCTGTTTCACTTATGAGGGAAGCTGCATTGTATATATACATAAATATTACTGCACAATATACCAGTGGAAAATTGGAAGTTAGTAAGATTGTTTTAACATCTGTGTGCTATGGTATTCCTTTAAATGGTGCAATCTTTGTGCAATTCAGCTAAACACCAGGACATGCCCTCTGTCACTTTCCTGGTGTTATTTTAAACTGTAAACGTGGTGTCCAACAAAGACATTATTACTGACAGACTTCCAGGGTTAAGCTTTAATCAGAAAAGCCTGCGTGGAACTCCAAACCATAGGCACCATCTCTTTGGCGAGTAATGATAGTCATATCTCTCTGTGCACTTTCACCATGATAAAGCACTGTATTGAATGTCTGATAACGGTATCCCTTCTGTATCACTTTCCATTGAAATACGATGAACCGCAAGAAAAAAGCAGACAATTGTCTGGTCCTATATAGCAATGTTATTTGAATTACTGTATTTGCTATGGAGGTACTATAATAATAGCCCTACTAGAAATACCTTTTTAGATAGATTATAATGCTTTTTCTGACATGAAATAACTGGAGGTATGCTAGTTATAGACCCAATCAACCAACCATTAAAATCAGGGGAAGTTTTTTCTATATTAACATTTATGGGCAATATATGAAAGTGATATTATAAGCAAGGAACTTACTTGGTAATAGACTTTTAAATGAACTTCTATCTCTGGTAATTCTTGGAGATGCTTGCTGACTGAAAAAATTAGCCAATAAACCATATAATCTATTGCTGCAAACAGAGCCCAGATACAAAGATTAGTAAACACAGGGAGAAAAAAACATCCTATGTTTTTCTTTTCTTTCTGCGTTAGGCTGAGGGATGGGATGGTTAAATACACCTTCCTTTCTTTTTTATTGAGTGGAAGCACAGATGGCTTTTGTTGATTCTTTTGCTGCTCATCAAATCCAATGAACCGCTTTGTGATATAAATATTCTTAAACTTTGCACTCTGAGTGCTCACAAATTTTCTGATGAAGAGGTACGTACCAAGAACAACTAGAAAAAGTCCCATGAAAGGAAACAGTCTCTGGCTTATGTAGGGCTGTATTGCCAGGATAGAAGAAATATGGTTAATAACACTTTGGATCTGTTGTTTGGTGGTATTTAGCCTCAGTTTGAAACCTTCATCAGAAATTATATAAAAGGTATTGAATTCATCACTCAGTGACACTATATCTTTAAAAGGGTTACTTGAAAACTTGATCTGATTATAAATCCATTGGATGGCTTCAACATAGTGTTTTATCAAGGCAAAATGCTCAACCTCTATATTGCAAGTTATACTGTCTGCCAGTACTTTTATGTTGTGAAAAATACTTTGGATGTTGCCAGCTGCCACTATGCCTGTGCCAGCAGTAATAAGAGCATTTCTACCTTCACGCAGTCCACAAGAAAGAACAAACAAGGCAGCAAAGCAACGCACATGTTTGGAAGAAAACAATGCAATAGAAAGGGCAATCCAGACAGATGCAACAATTGCTAAGGTAACCAAAGGAAAATGTGTTAGGGAGGAATACAAGCCAAGGAACAAGAGACTGCTTGAGATGAAGCTAGCTGTACAGCAAACTGCAAAAAGCTGTAACAGCTTCTTCCAGCCAGGCTGCCTCTCTGATGTGAAAAGTTCCCAAACATGTCGAGTTAGTGAGGCAAAACTTCTCATTCTCTTCTTAAAGCCACAGTGATCCTCTGATGGCTCAAACTGGAAATAAAGGAAGACAAACCTGCCATTAGTCCCAGTTAGTTGCAATCGATTCATAATGTGCATTTGATTGATTGATCAATAATCCTTTTTCCCACAGGTCTGATTCTCACATCAAGGTCTAATCTGCTGGGTGTAGAACTCAGATTGGAGGGAAGATAGCCAGAGAGCTTCTGAACTGGAAGGACCATGTCTGTGAGGCTTGACTCTGTGTGTGTGTGTGTGTGTGTGTGTGTGTGTGTGTGTGTAAAAATGGAGAGAGAGCAGATATTTCTGTGCTCCTTTCTCTGTACAGCTGCTAGGCTTGCCTGGACAATAGCTCAAGATAATGTGAAAGAAGGACAGAACCTTCCTGCTTCCTACTGTGAGCAATGGAGTGAATTGAACTATGGTTCTCTCCCCACCAGTATACCAGTCAATACAGCTGAATCAGTACCAATGTACACCTCACCTTGTCCCTCCATGCTGAACAACTGTATATGAGGAACTGCCCTTTTCAAAGACATAATTCTTTCTTGGGATAGCTACGTAGATATAATAGAGTTCATAGACATTAGGGCTGGAAGGGCTCACAAGATCATTGGGTCCAGGCCCCTGCCCAAAGGGCAGGAAGTCAGCTGGGGTCAGATGATCCCAGCACGATAATCATCCAAACACTTCTTGAACGTTTCCAGAACAGGTGCCTGCACCACTTCTGGGGGGAGTCTATCCCAGACTGGAGACTCGGATGGTAAAGAAGATTTTTCTTATGTCCATTCTAAAACAGTCTTCTAGCAGTTTGTGATTATTGGACCTTGTCATCCCTTGGGGCACTCTGGTAAACAGGCGTTTCCCCAGATCCTGATGCACACCCCTGATGTACTTATAGGCTACCACCAAGTCCCTCCCTGAGCCTACGGTTCTCCAGGCTGAGAAGTCCCATGCCTCTCAGCCTCTCCATGTGACCTGCTCTCTTGACCTCTGATCATGCACGTGGCTTTCCTCTAGACTCTCTCAAGCTTCTCCACATCCTTTTTAAACTGGAGCCCAGAACTGGATGCAGTACTCCAACTGCAGCCTCACCAAGGCCGAGTAAAGCGGGAGGATGACATCTTGGGTCTTGCTTAAGATGCATCAGTAGATGCAAGCCAGAGTTTTATTTGCTTTGCTGGCTGCGGCATCGCATTGGTGGCTCATATTCATCTTGTGGTCAGTCATGACCCTCAAGTCTCTTTCGATTGTGGTGCTAGTGAGTGTAGTACTGCCGAGCCTATAGGTATGATGTGGGTTCTTTCTCCCAATGTGGAGCACCTTGCATTTCTCCATGTTGAATGTCATCAGGTTTTGATCCACCCACATTGCAAGCCTGTCCAGGTTGGCCTGAATCCCCAGCCTATGCACTAGAGTGACTGCGCTTCCCCATAATTTGGTGTCGTCTGTGAACTTAGCCAGTCCATTTCTGACACCTGAATCCAGATTGTTTATGAATATATTAACGAGTACTGGTCTGAGTACACACTGAGCCTTATACCTAGCTGCCCTTGGAGGTTCACTCTCACCTATTACAATCTTTTTGTTTTTGTATCACTTTGTGTGTGCATTTGTTTATCATTAAAGCAGGATTTATTGTTTGCTGGGGAAAAATACTTTTGTTCCCCATCTTTTACAATATGTTCTCTACATTAAGAATTATCAGCAAGTACAGAACTAAGTTATATGCATATTAGTGCTTTAACATCTTATGATAAATCAGATACCAATTACATAAAATAAACTATTGCAATTTTGTCTTGTAATAGGAAGCTCTTGTCTTTACAAATACCACTGGAAGATATTACATTGTCTATTTTTTAGCTGGAACACAGCAGGATATCAGTAATTAGACTAGTATTTTATATACTTACAGTATTTTACTGGCACTTGATTTTATGAGTTCACTTAGCATTTATTTTACTGTTTTCCTCTTCCTTTCTTTATTGTTACTGATTTGGTTTTAGCATTAGCAATTTTGCATCTAGTAAGAGCTGAAAGTAATTCCAGCAGGGGGCTGATTCCAGCAGTGTTTCAGTCTTCGTCTCCTATGGTTGCTTCTGCCACTAGCTCACTCTGGGCCTGAAACTTCCAGGTGCTGAACTTATCCTAAAGGCTGCTGAGTGCTCTCATGGAGATTAACTTCTGTAGCAATGTAGAATGTCAGGAGTTGCTGTGCCTGGGGTAGCAGCATCGCACCCTTTGGGACCCTGGGGTAGTCATTTACATTCAATAGCTCCATTTATCCATTTGTAAAATGAGTATAATAGCAACTGCTATTTACATTATCTACCTTATAGGAGAAATGTTATAAATTAACATTTGCAAAGTAGTCTGGGGTCTTCAGAGGGTAGAGGCCATGTCAGTGAATTAATGAAAGACATTTCATTACTTTCACATACCTGTTAAGATTGGGGTCTAAAGTACTACAGGATTACTACAGTCCAATTCCAGAGCAAGAGTCTGTTATAAGCTCTACTGGGGCTGGATATAAATCTAATAGATAAATAAATAACAAAGTGGGTGAGATTTATAAACTCAGCAACACAAACAGAACCAGAACCCGGGATTACAAGCTCTGCTGGTAAACCCAACTTTACTTCATCAGACTATATACCAGTTGAGGCTCTGCCCCTACATTCTGAAAAAGCTCAGGATTTTGGTTCTTTAAGGAACTATTAGAGAAATGAAATGCTAAAAAAATCTCATGTTAATGCAACATTTAAGGCAAGTGGGTATTAAGGGAACAACACATATTAAGGTTTCTCTCGCAGTGTTAACTCAGCCACTTTATACAAGCATAATTTCTATTCCCATTTTTCTGATTTCCTGTTCACTCTCTTGCACTGCTGTTTATTAATGTTTATGTTACTATTGACATATGTAGGGGGTGCTATGTGCACAGGAGGTTGGAAGGATTCTTAGACAAGATCAACTGGATGAGACAAGTTCTTAAAAAAAGACAGATTGAGGGAAAGACAGATAGAGAAATATAAAATAAAGCTGCCAGCACAAGAAAAGCACAAGGTCTGGATAGTGCTGGCTTAAGGACCGTGCATAAACCTTGAAAATAAACATTGTGTGTCCAGTTTCTAGGAAGGCTCTGCTGTTGCTAGGAGTTACAAAATTGATAGTTCTACAGTTCAGCAATTAGGGGGGCAGATTGTCCCTGATCTTTGCTTGGATAGTTGGTGAAGAGATCAAGGAGCAATCAACAATCAGATCCTCCTTTCCACAGTTGATCAGAAAGTCTGTATGCTTGCCTTCAATCCAAGAAGTTTGAAAAGGGTTTCTTCACAATACCTTCCCAAGTGTTTTTGAAGCTGTGTAGTTCAGCCTTACCAATTCTGTTCAGAATGGCTAGGGACAGCCATTACACATAAACTGGTTTAAGTGAGTAGAAACTGGTTTAAACCTGTAACAGAACAGATGCTCAGTACACATAAACTAGTTCAAAATGGCTGAAACTGGTTTAAGATAAACCTGACTGAATGTAGTATCAGACTTAACTGATTTGGGTTGAACTGGTTAATTAAACTTTTGCCCCAGACCCCTTCCTGGTTCAAGTTAAATCATAGTCTCCCAGCATGCTTTCTAGCCCTGAGCTGGGCTGTCTGCTCCAACAGAGAAGGGGTGAGGTAGAGGGCAGGGTGTGGAACCAGGGAGGGGGGTTAAACTTACTACTGGCTGTGACTGTGGACTACAAATCCCAGAGGCAACTGGAAGCAGGGAGAGGAAGTGATGAGCAACCCTGCATAGTCCTGCTGCTGTGTTTCTGGACTTCAAATCCCAGAGACCCTGGGGGCAACAGGAAGAGGAAGCAAACACACAGCCCATGCTGGCTATGCACCAGAGAGCTGTGTTGTAGTGGCCCCCAGCTTGTGGCCTAAGCCACTGCAAGTATGTGGCTACATTTCTTGAATCAAAAGTGAATGTCTGCCCAGTTTCTCAGTTTAATTTTTGCAGCTTAGACTAACCTGCAAAGACTGAATCAATTCAGCCTCGGGCTTTTTTACTGTCTGTACTTAGCCAATAGGTCCAAAATCACATGGTTGAGATCATCAGCTGAATCCCAACTGCTCAGAGGCTATTTGTGTTACTCTTCTATTACCTCTGCTCAAAAAATAAACAGTCATCAGTGGCAGCAGTTCCTCAAAATTGCAAGATTTCTATAGAGAGTGAACACTGGACACCTTTTTAAATAAAAAAGGTTTGGAAGCCAAATATTATTTGGAACTGCACTAGCAATTCACTCCTTTAAGCAACTGATTGTCCTTGGGGCTACAAAACGACACCTTTGCTCAGAACTAGAAACAGATCAGTGTTAAATGGTTTGGCTAAAGAAAATGATTAAGTCCTTAAAATAAGTGGTAAATCTTCAGAGCTTTCTGGAACTTTGAATATTGAAAATGTAAATCAGTGAAGCTCTGTTAATGTTGTCAGGTGCAGATGCACTGTTGGGTGGGAGGGAGCGGGGAGAAGTGAGAGGTTGTCAAGAACAAGCTTTTTATTTCCACTGCAATCTGAAGCAAAGTGCCTTCCCCTCAGAATCTCCCCCTTTCCTCTGCGGTCCCTAGTGTCAGAGCACTTTGCCAGGCAAAGGAGATTCACTTGCATTTTTACACCAGACTTGGGTTTGGGGCTTTGTCAGTGAAAGAGTGCAATATGCTAGTTCTGGATTCATACGGATGTAGGGAACCATTAATATTATACACGGAGCAGAGAGATTAGTGCGGGAAAGCAGTTTGCCCATTAGATGCCTTTTCATTTTACCTCTTTAGATTATTAAGAGAGATGGGATCTCATGGTTGGAGCAAAAGTTGGAAACTAGGAAATCTTGATTCTAATCCTGATGGGGAGCCTGATTCTTCTTCTGCCAGATGCAAGACATGCATGCCGTGTCTCTACTGCCTCCCTGCCAATCCTGTGACCGATGCCAGGAAACAAGTTTCACTCACTTGTACTCTGTGCATGGCCAAATTCAGCAGTTAGACTTTAGACACAGCTTAGTGGGATCCTGAGCATGCATCCCAGAAGGTCAGGACCCCTTCCCTAATGGCTGGGCTTGAATAGGCAAGGAGCAGGAGTACTCACTTAAGCTTGGCAAGAATTTCATAGATTCCATAGACATTAGGGCTGGAAGAGACCTCGCAAGATACAATATAGACATGGCCTCAGTCTCCCTGTGCCTCAGTTTCCCCTTCTAATTTATCTGTTTATAATAGGAATTATTATTATCATCTACCTCTCTTGGTGCTAGGAGAATTAACTATGGGGATGAATTCTGTATGTGAGTTTTGCCAGCGGTGGGTTTGATGCAAAGTACTTAATGTCTGTGCTGTGTTTTTACAGATTCTTTCTGGGAGGGCCAAGAGATGTAAGGACTATGTGCTTTAAGAGTAGCATGGTTATTCCAATTCCATTCCTACATGGAAGACAGGAATCATGTGAAAGGAATTTTGAATGGTCTAGGTTGCAATCTGCAGACACTGGCTGCTGTTACTGGAGCTCAATGAGAAATGGCTGCACAGTACCAGAAGTCTAAAGACAGTTTATCCACCTCAGCGGTACATTCTCTGCTAAAGCAGCAGTTCTAACAACCTTGTTTGATGTACTTACTTGTTAAAGCCCACTTTCACTGGCTGCTACAGGATCCTGAGCAACAACAAACTTCCTCTTCACAGAAATACTAACTTTACCACCAGTCCAGGACCCCCCCAATTTTCTCTGGAGGACTGCAGGTCCGAGGGCATGCTTCTTGCATTCTGTCCCCCTTTAGCTATTATATGTCATGTTCAAATAGAAACATGTCTGGAAATATTTGTAAACACTTTTACTCTGCTATGTGCAGGTTGTGGTGAGTACTGCATTGGTGATATACAGCTTCCCTACCCTGCTCTGAATTCATGATAACCTTTTTATTTACCAACTTTCACCTTGAAAGGAGCATGAAGAATTGTGTATCATAAAAATGCCCAGCAAGATAATTAATGGAATGTGCCAGGTAATGTAAATTAATCTCCACAAAATATTTGGATTGTCTAATGCAAATCATAAGTCAAACTATGAATAAGCCAGTGTATTCAAAAGGCATGATTGCATCTTGTAAGTGCACAGGGTCAAATCCTGAAGTCCTTATTTTATCTGGCACTGTCCTAACTCAAGCTAAACCCGTGTTGCAGTTCTACCTGATCTATACATGACCTATGCCATGGATTCATAGATTCATAGATGTCATGGATTCATAGATTCATAGATGTCTGACCCTAACATCTATGAATCTATGTAATACTAAATCTGAACTGCCATTATTTCAATAGAAAATCTAGTATTGGCAAGGATTTTGGATGATTATTACCTTGGTGAGGACACATTTGGAGTAGTGTGCCCAGTTTTGGGCCCGCCACTACAAAAAGGATGTGGACAAATTAGGGAGAGTCCAGTAGAGAGCAATAAAAATGGTTCAGGGGCTGGGGCACATGACTTCTGAGAAGAGTCTGAGGCAACTGGGTTTATTTAGCAGGCAGAAGAAAAGACTGAGGGGGGATTTAATAGCAGCATTCAACTACCTGAAATGGGGTTCAAAAGAGGATGGAGCTAGACTGTTTTCAGTAGTCACAGATGACAGAAAAAGGAAAAATGGTCTCAAGGTGCAGCAAAGGAAATTTAGGTTATATATTGAGAAAAACTTTCTCACTAGGAGGGTGGTGAAGCACTGGAACAGGTTACGCGAGAGGTTGTGGAATCTCCATCCTTGGAGGTTTTTAAGACTCGGCTAGACAAAGCCTTGGCTGGGATGACCTAGTTGTAGATGGTCCTGCTTTGAAGAGGAGGTTGTACTAGATGACCTCCTGAGGTCCTTTTCAACCTTAGTTTTCTATGATTCTATGATTATTCACAAATTTAATGTCTGAATTATAAATCTTTGTTCCATTCTTAAATTTTCACACAATGCCTATTTTATTACAACTCCAAGAAATAATGTAGGCTATTTGGTCATATGAGATCCCATTTAGTACTGAAGCCTCTTTTGCACTGCAGTATTACATCATAGACTATATTTATATTTTGTATTTACATTGTCTGCATTATTCTTCTTTTAAGTCAACAAGATGTATATAGAAGACAGAATAGTAGGGGAAAAAACTGGAGATGGGAATTCAAACCAAAGTATTCTTTTATAGCCATTTCAGCTGTTTTATTTCATGGGTTGGACAATGAGAATCATTTTACTTTCTTGGAGTACCACCAGGAAATACAGGGATGTTTCATGGAGAGAAAAAAAACAAAATATAGAGAAGTTGGATAAAACTTCTTTCTGTTTCATTGTTAAGTGAGCCATTCCTCAGAGAAATTAGAACTTGACCCCAATATCTAGTGAAGTTAATGGAAAGATACCACAGACTTCAGTCAGGCCTTTGACATATAATATATTCCTCATATATTATAAGCCTACTTGGGGTGCATAACAGCAAATGGAAAGAAATTTAAAATGCATAATCTTAAGGATATAAATAAGGAACTAAAATAGAAAAGCATAGAAATACAAAGAAAAGTGTGTATTATAAATACAGATAGACAGACAGACAAAAAAGAAGTATTTGAATGAGCCCTTTCAAGAGCCCATAGAGCTTTTTTTCTATGTATTTGACCCAGCGAAGATAATAAACACTGTAAGACATTATGGATTTCCTTTATTCTTTAGTCCAGTAAATTTCCCCATTGTAAGCATGTCTGATACTTGACTGATTTAGATGTTCAGAAGGTGATTATGCCATTGGGCAGATTAGAAATCTTGCTGTTAATGGACGGCAGTGGGTGGGGGGAATCAATTTTTCTAGTGTAAACATTGCTATCGACAATATTAAGAATAGATGCTCTCATCCTCTTACATATGGCTTAACTCCAAGGACATATGTGAGAGTTTGCTGGGCTGTTAATTGTTGGGAAACCCCAAAGGTAACTTGCATTTTGACTCAAATATAAACGTACAGTCCTACCGCATATGTTCATGAAAGAGCATATAAATGAATCGTGTTGCTAGCATTTATGACTAGATCCTCAACTTCTGCAAATCACTAACACTAATTTCAGCATCAAATCAGTACTTAATCACTACCAACGGCAGTTAATTGATTTTCCACATCTAAAATCACTTTTAGAAACACAACCCTAAAAAGTTACTTACAGGCTCTTCTGTAAAGTACGTGGAGATTCGTCAGTTTTCCATGTCTCTTGGTGCTGGTTAGAAACAGGGAATGGAGCTAATAAAAAAGTTTCACATGAGTCATTTATTTCCCCTGTCCCTCCCCATGTGAGTCAGGCATACCACGTTTTGAAATTATTCTGGTTTTGACAAAGATAAATGAGGATGTAACTAATGCACAAGACTAAAATAGTGCTTAATTTTCCAGTGCCATTTTTAACCTTTCTCCTGTCAGAATAATAGATATCAGCAAATGAGTTTTAGGGCCAGAGTTTGATGTCTTTAACTGGTATGGTGTCTTTGGTCCAGATATTCAAAGTATTTGGATGTGTAATTCCATTGAAATCAATGACTCTTAGAAAAACGTGTCCTTTATTCCAGAGGATGCTCCCATTCTGTCCAAGCTCTTATAGAATAAGTTGCTGCTCCCTGTGAATATGAATACTGGAACTTGGCTGTTCAAAATATGTAAGATATTTTATTAATAACAGACACCCTAAAACAAAGCTTGGATTATGTAAAATGTAAAATTGGATAGTCCTTAAAAGTAACATGGGTTTTGTATAAACACTATAAATACCAGACCCTTGCCATGAGATGGTAACAGTCATAATGGGGGTCAGTGCAAGAGTAGATGAGGATGGTGAGAGCACTATCAAGAAGAAGAATCAGTTGCTCCACTGGTGACTGCAACCCACTAGGCATGGAGTTGGATAGGACTCAACTCTCTACCGCACCCGAGCCTAAAAATAAGAGTGATGGCTCCTCAAGGAGGGTCATCAGAGAGGGGATTGTTGGCAAAGACCTGGCACAATCATCACACGTGTATGTTGGAGACAGAGCTAAGGGAGCAGGGGAGGGTCCCAGACTGCTTAGTCTGGTGTGACCAAAGAAAGCAGAGGACTACATACACATTTCAAAGCAGAATCTGTAATCTGTAAGAGGTGAGAGACTGGAATACACTGAATGTATGATAGGTGTGCTATACAAGAGGGGCATGCTGTACATGACATGGTCAAAGCACCTAAGGAAGAGAAGAAGGTGCAGATTTGCCTATAAAAATCCAGGCAGAAATTAGGTCTGTGAAACCTAAGAATACCTGGAGATTCCCCAGAAGGACTACCTGAATCCCTGGCTGTAAGGAGACCCTTTGCCCTCGGGACTGCATAAGACTCATGCAAAATCTTTCTGTTGTCTTTTTAGTTTATTATATTGCATTTTAAATTAGGCTAAGTTGTGTGTGTTGTCACTGTGTCTTACTGGGCTGTGTTTTAGCTTAGGTGAAGTTTTCTCATGTTCTTTGTCGTATGCTTGAAGCTGAGAATTGTTGTGCTCAATAAATGCTGTCTTCAGAGAATGGACTATTCTTGTTCAAGCATTTATGAATTCAGTGCCACTACCTAAAGTCTAATATTAGCTCTGGTAACAAATGTTAATATTATCTAATAAAAGGTGCAATAATATTATATAATACTACAATTATCTAATAAAAGATACCACTTCTACCCAAAGAACCTTGTCTACATATGTCCTTAGACCAACATGGCTACAACCAACAACCTAATGGCTTTTGTATGCAGTTTTAAGTTGCACTTATATAAACACTGCTTTAATGAAATGAGAGAGAGAATAATACCAAAATTGAGGGAGTGCTTCACATGTTCAAGGTTATCTATACATATTACCTGAAGCTCATGATGCCTCTGAACTAATTAAGTGTCTGAGCAGGTGCCTTTTACAGTTTGCTGTAAACGCATAATCACAGATCCTATTATTAATATTTATTGTTTGTATTATGGCAACATCTAAGGGTCTTACTCATGAATCAGGGGTTATATGAGCTAACTATTGCAATGATATACAGCACAGAGGGTCCTCTGTAAGTCTGTCAAAAACAAAGGGTGGTTACAGCAAACAGATGAGGAGAGCACAAGGATACAATGACAGTTCCAATCAGCAAGATAGACTGTGATAGCAGCACACCAGATGCCTGGTTACAGCCAAGTTTCTTGTAGGTGTCAGGACAAGGTAAGGAGGGACTTAAAGCAGGACACTGCAGTAATTTTGGAGATGTTAACAGTGACATTTTGCTGTCTTGAGATACCAGCATGAGAAAGAATATGCAGGGAGCAACTAAAAAGTAACCAGATAGGGGATGAAGCCAGAGCAGTGTTGGGCATCAATATCTCAGCAATGTAGAAGAAATAAATTATGGTAAAAAGGGATCCTGGGCACTGTCAGTACCACACGGAAGCAAAAAGGCTTTAACCAGCCTTTATACAGACCGAGAGTCAGTTGAGGATAAAAATCAATTTCTGGTGTTGCTTAGGGCTGCGTGGCTGTTTATGGCCCCAAGAGACCATACTGGCAGGCCAGCCTTGCCAATCTATCAGGATGCTACAGTCATTTACCCCTTCCTCTTAGGCATGTCACTAGATCAGGTATGAATCTCTGAATAATTGCCATATAAAGGGAATTCACCGGGTGAGAAAACCATTGGCTTTTAACTTTTTTGCCTTCTCAAACCAGCACAAAACTGAGTTGAGTCCAGAATCTGACCTGCAGCTCATGCACAGGGTAGAAACGAATCTGTCTGATACAAAATTGCTGCGTGGGTTTTAATCTTTATGGATTACCTAATGTCTGCTGATAAAATCATATGTAGTAGAGTGAGCAAAAGTACTGCTATCTTGGTTGGCTTTATATTTTTGGAATTCCTATAATTCTGTGGCTTAAATGCAGGACTCAAAAGCTTTGGATGGGTGTCCTGTAGCATGGAGTTTCTTTTAGACTGAAATATATTAATTCACCTCTTTATTAATCAACAATGCAATATTGGTTATTCAAATATTCTCAATTGCTCACAGGTTTACTCCTTCAGGACTGCTCTGCTTACTCTCTATGTCCTCTCAGAAAAATCACTCTTGTTTTCTTTTTATCAAGGCAATCTTTTAAGTCATCTGCCTCAGTGAGCCAGGAGAATCAATTTAGTGTCTTTTAGTCAGGAACAGCATCAGCTAAGAGAGCACAGTGTTTCAGGCAAACATACCTAGACCATAGGCAGATCCAGTATTAACTAAACGGGAGGTGCAGCCCATAGGGGGGAAGAAGCAAGGTGTGGTTAGAGCCCCCAGGTCGACAGGGCACATTAGGGAATGGGGCAGGGAGCAGGCACATGAAAGGGGAAGGAACCCCCACAGCAGCACCCCCCCCCGCCCCCCCCCCCCCCCCCTTACTGCTGCCTGACTGGATGACCTTGGGGAGGGGGAGGAGGGAAGGCCCAAAGCCACTCCTTCCCTGTGCCCCAGGGAGCAGGCGCTGGAAAGAGGAATCTGCACATCACTGCTACTGCTGCTGTCCCCTGCTGAGCCTGGCAGCCTGCACAGCTGCATCTCATGACTGGAGTGAGGCAGGAGTGACTCTGCTGCGTGCACCCAGATCAACTGGGGACAGTGGCAGAGGCAGTGGAAGGGCGACACAACTTCTGCCCCTCTCTCCCCTCACTGCCTCCTTGAATCCACCCCAGACCCAGACTCATACAAAGAATTACCATTCTTCTATTGTACAGATGAGTGGAGAGCAAGTAAAAGATCTGCTTCTGCCAGCCTAATATTGATTAATATCTCATTCTGCAAGTAGTAAGATTTGCAATCCTGAGGACTGCTTCTTGACTAGGATATTACTCAACATGAGTGAATATCAATAAATATCAGGCCTTAAGTTACTTGCCCAAGACCACAAAGGGAGTCAGTGCCAATGGTGCAATTTATATTACAGCCCTCAGGAGAACTGCCTTCTTATCTTTTGTATTTTGTATGACAGTATAAAAGTGATGTTGTAGCATAATGGGCCAGAAATGATGCAAGAGGCAAGGATTTCTTAGGGTAATATCTTTTACTGGACCAACTATGTAGGTGGGGTAAAGTTAGACACATTTTTTAATGTAAAACATTCTTCCTCACGTCTCTGATTATAGGAAACTAGGCACAGCAAGTTAAGCACAGCATAGGGGAGGTGTTGAGAGAAATTATCAGATGTAGAAGACACACAATTAGAAAAAAAGAAGAAGCTGTGTACTGGGAGATCAAGCCTATCGAGAGGGGATGAGAGCCATCAAGTTCACCTTCCTTGTTTGGAAAGTACTCAGGAATTGGATAAATTATAATAAGCTATAAATCCAATATCAATGTTTAGTCCTTGGTGCTGAGTGTTCAACTAGGTTATGAATTTTTGTTCCCAAGTTTACCTTTTAAAGGGGTTAGGTAGATTTCTTTTGAGCACAAGGATAGTGAGGTCAGAGATGGAGTGGTTGCTCTGTGCGAAATGTGCTCCTAATGGTGTGTGTTTATCTCCGTCCTTTATTTTTTTTTTTGTGAAAGTTTATTCTCTTGCATAGTTGCTGTTTAGTTTCACCCACATAGTTGCCATGATGGCATTTGATGCATTGGATCAGGTATAGCACATTTTGGGAAAGGCATGTGTAGGAACCATGGATTCTGCTGGTTTCTTTATTGGGGATGTTGATATTAGTGGCAGTGGAGAGGTGCTGATAGGCTAAGCATTTCTTGCCAAGACAAGGCTGTGTTCCACTTGGGGTGCAGACAGAAGTGACAATTTTTACCTGATCTGGCCACAGAAGGTGGTCTATAGCCATGACCAAATAGAAGTGCATGACTGCAGACTGCTTAAAAAATGGCCAATTGGGCAAAAATATGGATTCTCATTGTGTGACAGGTCAGATGAAGATGTTTCAAAACAGAGAATCTTCTGTAACTTCTGTCTGCATTGCCTACCAGCCTTGAGCTGGTTTCAGAATAGGAGGGGGGAAAGGGAGCAGAGGGAGTTTGGTTTGGGGTTTTTTAAGCCCCCCACTGGAGGGTGAGGTGAATGTATTAGAGCCCTCCCAATTCACCCACCCCACCCTACAGCAGCATCAGGAGAACCCCTAGAATGAGCTCCCTCTGCTCCCTTTCCCTATCCCATGCTGAGGCAGGAACAGGTTGGGAGAGAGGAGGAGTGGTGGCTAGGGGAAATTGGC